CAGTTCTACAAACATGCTCATTGTAGAAATAGGAAATGGGCGGTTAACAGCAGCCATAGTATATTAAGCTCTGCACAATAGTGCAGCTGCAAACTAAAATCAGGCACATCAGATTGGTAATGCAGAAACGGGTTATTTCCAACTGTAAATAAAGAGACAATAATTTCTCAGGTTATTCAGCCGGTACTCCCTCCCACACCCCCTGTTTCTGGTAGATCAAATATTCACATGGTTATAAAATGATGGAGATTGAGGAAGAAAAACAACACTGAAATTTCTGACCCTCAGGTAGAAATACATTACTAGAGAATTCAACATGGGGCAATCGTGGAGTAACCTGGCATCCATACTACAGACTTGGTAATCTGGCAGCTCCAACAGCTCATAAACAGACTGCCAGGCATCAGACTCGACTAGTGCATCAAGCTCTGCACCGAGGAGCAGCTGCAAGTGAGTAAGCAAATGACATGAACGACATATGGGTGATATTGACACCGGGCTATTTCCATGTACGTATGACGATAGAGTATGATTTCTCAGATTATTCAGCTGGTACTATTTCTTGGGATTCAGACATGGATGCGCCGGCAGCAGCAGCTTCATGAGGCCTTGAGCGTCTGCAAGGAGGTGGATCTTCGCTCCCAGGTATCTGGTAGATCACATATTCACACTGTTATAATACCTCCAAACTTTCATTGAAGAACAATATAAGACTCGAAAACCATGGAGATAACAGGAACATCACAACGAACAAAAAAATAAAAACCTTCCATGGCTAAGCAAATAAGCGTAAAATTGAAATGCAGAGTAGAAATGGTATCCATAAGCACCATTTAAAAAAAAGGTTTCGCCAGTGACAATGCTGACCTGGCAAGTCGATGGAGGGGCACCGGCATTTCCTTCACTTGAAAGCTCCATCCTCTGCAGCCTCTCCGGCAAGGTCTCCATCCCTATGTGTGATAGCAGCAGCCAGACATAAGTGAGGAGCTCAGGGCCAGTGCCCAGGCTCTTTCCGTGTAGGTATCCTCGGCGCCTACTGGCTGAGAAGCAGAGCATCTCCACCCACACCCCTTCGATCACTTCCCATGTCTTGTTCTCATCACCCAAAGACAACAGCGCTTCAGAAATCTTACAGGCATCAAGGATAAAACAACCTTCCTGTGCAGTTGGATATTTCTTCGCATCAGGTGGCGAATGTGTGTGTTCAACAACCTGTTCTTTGTATTGTGTGGGCTGCAGTACCTTGCCAATTATTCTCTGAGTAAATTCTCTTTCGATTTCATTGAGCAATGGCTTTCTGTCTGTGAAGAACTTCAGAAATGGCTTATTGCACCCGAGGATCTCCTTGAGCGAAGGCTTGTCACTCTTGAGGATCTTCTCGAGCGATGGATCATCATCCTTGAGAATCTCCTCCAGTTCAGCATTAGCGGTGATGAGCAGATTCGGCCTAGAACCCGACAGTAGCATCTCAGGGTTAACAAATAGTAGGTACATCAAGTAGTTGGACATCTCCCGGCACCGGACGGCTCTACCGTGATGATGAGATCTTTCACACCAAACAGCACAACCATGGCCTTCACCTGATGCATCTTCAATACACTGAGCAGTGGCACATTGGTGATCTGGTGATGCGCCCAAGTGGTAGAAGCAGAAATCCGTGGCAATGTGCCAGAGAAGGATGCTCTCGTCAAATGAACTCCTTAAGCTCCAACCCAGGTCTTGCTCGCACTTGTTAGCCTCAAGAGTCCATTGCCCCCTGCGGTCATTGAACTTCCAGTAACTGCCAACATCTTTTATCTGATCTTCCCACCCTTTCTTCACATACTTGAGAACTAACTCTGTTATTGCAAAGGAAGAGTTGCAAGGCTTCATGAACCAATGTTGGTGAAAGAAGTCGTTGCAATTCAAAAAACTCAGGATGCTGGTCATCTTGGTGTGCTTTTTGTTGTGGACAAAGAACCCTACAAGGGCATATTGGCCTACGAGGCTATCTTTGAGTGCACCAATGCTCATGATATTTATTGGCTCACTGATGGACAGGGCAGCCTTCTTTCTTGCTCACTGAAGCTTGTACAGGATGGTCCTTTGCCACTGGAACAGGGGAACTGCACTCCCTCGCCGTTGGGCATTCTCTAGCTTTATCCGTGCAACTTGGTCAAGCGCCCATGTTACCAATTGTACTGCCCAATCCCCATCAGGCGTCCGAGAACTCGAATGGACTTGCCTTCGAGCCTTTGAAGAAATATGACTAGTTGAGAAAAAACTGCAGAAGTACTCCAACACTGCGGTACAGCAGAACAAGACATATGTAACCTTGACGTCGTAATCATCATAACCTTCTCTGTGGCTATTGTGGAAGAGGGCGAGGGCTGCCCATGGCAGTATCATAGCTGGTAGACGTATGAACAAAGCACCAGGATTCATATCTGGTTGTTCCCCCGTTTCGTCACACAGCTCGATCATCTTCTTTTTCGTGTATAAAAGATTAAACGTATTGGATAGCCTATTTTGCAACAAAACATATGCTTGCTTCTCATGAAGCAACCCAAAGGATTTTAGGATGCCAAGTCGATCAGGATAGGGCGATGCAAGGTCCACAAATAGCTTATAGACCTCAAGGTCCACATTATAGTCATCAACTTGGGCTCTACTTGTCCGTGTGCTTTGCGTCTGAGATCCATGGTCGGGCTCAAGATCCACCACATCATCTTCTCCTTGTGCTTGATCAGGAAGATGGTTGTTGGCCTCAAGGTCCACCATCTCTGGTCCTTGCGTGATATCTCCAGATCTCACTCAATCATCAGTGAAGTCATGCACGCACAAAAGTGAGAGTCCGATTCGTTGCAACCTAATAACTACGGCGTTGTCCACATGTTTTATATTGTACCACTTGACTCTGTGGGCTTGTCTGATCTTGTGATTTGCATCTAATGGCCACTATTTATTTATTTCTATGACTGACTTCAGGCCGGCCCATCAAACCTATCGAATCCTTGTGTTGGTTATTCTAGTCCACTCTGCCCTCTAAGATATTCATGGGTGGGAGAACTGAAGTCTCAGTTCTGTTTCTTGTCTTGGCCACACCTCGATACCACGAAGGAAGCATCCAAGTAGGCGAGTCCAAGCAAAGCAAAGCGAAGCGTGGCGAGTGGTTGGTCACTAGTAGGGGTGGTGGAACGGATGGGGAATAAACACAAGCACCTGGCGGGCGGACGAAATCTGATCTGGTGCCGGCGGCGCTCCCGGCGGGCGTCCACCGTGCCCTTCTGTGATGCATTTCGCCTGGCACACGAGGCCGGCGATCCGCCGCTTGGCAGCTGCGGGCGGGCGTCGACGAGGCCATCTTCTCCGGCTGGAGTCTCCATACATACGACCGCCGCGCGGTGAGCAGAAGAGGGAGGAAGAACGGGTTGATTAACGGTGATGGTGGGTCTTTGCCGGTCTGACTGCAAAAACCTTGAACCAGCTCTTTGCCCAATAACCAACTAGACTAGTAATACTTCATGATTTGTTAATGATTTAGATTCAATATTATGCATATTAATTTGATGTGAGGTCAAATTTTTGAATATTCTGGTTTTTTTATCGCAAATGGACCAATGAACCGACAGTCCGATCAATAAAAACCTAAACCGACAACCTCGCCTGTTTGGTGTTTATGCCACACCTACATAATTGGTATACCAAACTTACGTAAATCCATTCATCGCTAATTAAACGCCCCCCCCCCCCCTCAATTTTCAGGGTGAGCCTGTGCGTGCAAGTAATTACCAATAAAAAACTGCCAGATCGGACAGTATGTAAGATACATAAAAAAGGTTACGTAGGTGTAAATTGCAGGGCCTCCTATATGGGCACCCGCCTCTAAGGCCAACTCCACCGCACAATCCTAAATCTATACCTATTTTGTCCGGATTTTGTCTGTATGGGGTAGAAATAGGGAGAACAAACGCCAGACAGAGGCCGCACAAACTCGCTGCACGCAGCGCTACTACCCCATTTTCACCCCATACGTCGTGGTCGTTGGTGCACGTGGTGGGCCATGTACAGAAAAGGAGAGAGTAACATGTGGGGTCGAGGCGGACACAGACGGACGACGAGGACGCGAAGACGTCTGCTTTCTGTACGCTTTGGCCTCAAACCGAGAGCAACTTTGGTCTAGAAATGGGGCAAAAGCGGACACGAACCGGACAAAACGTCTGTATGCTCCCATGCGTTGGGTCGTTTGATTTGCCCGTTTTACCCCAAACGGACACAAACGGACGATTTGAGGTAGAAATGGGTCACGCGGTGGAGTTGGCCTAATGACAGCGGACGGAAAATACCATGTCAGAACTAGCCGGAAAAATCACATACTAGAGCGACCTGATACAGTTGATGTTAGGCAATAAATACCAATTGCTCATGAAAATATTGGGTTGCATCAACATAATGTAGCAATTCGTCAAACGGAAACTAAGCCTGATGGGACACAGTTAAAAAAAGTTCATTTGCATTTCACCCTTTTGGATACTTTGTGCTGGCTGTAAAGGTATCCATAAAAAAACAGTGAAATGCTCATCAGTACTCTACATTTTGAGACCCTGTAAGAACAAGCAATATTACGGGCAATTCATTTGATAGGCACATATATACCTTTCTGAACAAGCCACAACTTCTTTTATTCAGAAAACTAGAAGCAAAGTGAGAGCCGCCATCAGCTCTGCACCTAGCAGGAGACATCACGAAGCAGCAAACTTCAGCAACTTTCGAGGGAGACTACAAAGTTTGCATGAAATAGAAAAACCAACACTACTGAAGAGTACAGCAGTAACTTGCAAGAGTGAAATAAAACGGTAATCAACGTAACAACCGTACTATCTGCATCCGTATCTCGCATCCCTAACTAGCTAAACCCGTGAGCAAAAATGTTCGACATAGAACATGTCCTTGGCTCACAGGGTTGGCAGAACCGTGAGATCCTAAATAATTTCTGCCTGATTTTCAGCGTGACTATCGTGCTAGTACCAATCAAAAACATCCAGGTCAACATCATCAGCATTTCCAGCTGCAACATCCTCCCCTTCTTTGACCTCAGATTGGTGCGTGCCCATCTCTTCATCTGACAAATTCGAAACATTCTCAACACTGAACGTGTTAGTTTCAGAAATAACATCATTTCCAGTGTTCCCTTCAGTTGATGCAACCTCTTGTTTTTGTGTAATGTTGATGTCTTTGAGCGAATCTTCAATGTTGAGCTGTTTCATTACTTGTTTTAAATACAAGTTATCTGTATACAGTTGTAAGACAGAAGAGTTAGGTTAAGCAAAATCAGAAATCAGAAATCAAAATATATGGGCTGGACCAGGTATGAAGCAACCGCTGACCTCTCGAGCGATGAAGTATAGCATCGTGGACTTGCATTGGATGCTTTTTGTCCTCACTTTTAAACTTTTGCCGTACCTGATCACGGGACTTATCTGGGAATAGTTGCTGTATCATTGCAAAATCACTACCAAATTGTTGAAGACCCTGGACCAGAACAGATAAAAAAGTTGAAGTTTCCCATAGGCAAGCCAAAACGTCAGCATGACAGTGTCAAAAAACATCTTATACTATTAAGTTATAGAGGGTGTAGTTGATTTCCAAATACCTGGTAAAACAAGTCAGTGTCAGATTTTGTCCATTTGGCCCGTGTCTTTTTGTCCATATAAGAATGGTAATTCAGTTTAGTAGCACTTTCTAGCGCCTGATTCTCTGTTCTGTCATTGTCATAGTTATCTCCAAAAGGATCAAAATCGTCAGTATCTCCAAAACGGGAGCTGCTGTGAAAAGACATCAACAAAGAACATGACAGGCGAAAGTCAGTGAAATCATGGTTAAAGCAGCATACCAACTCATCAAATTTAAGAATACAAATTTAGATGCTGGAATAAAAACTGCAGCAGCAACGCCAACTTCAAATACCCTATCTGAAAAAGTGAAGTATCTATATGATAAAATAGAAAGCTTGCAAATAGAACTGTAGCATTGTTGTCAATGACTGGTTATTTTACTACACTTTAGGTAAAAATATCCAAACAGAAAATGCAGAATGGTAGTTAAACAAGATACAGAGAAAATATTCATAAATAATATTTTAAGTTGGGAAAAGAGCCTACCTTTGATTAGAGGATGATGGTCCTGACGGTGTTTTACTCTAGGAAAGGCCAAAACAAAAATCATGAGCAACAGCATAATACTCCAATAAAGAAGGTAGACCCAGCAAACGTGCACAACTCACCTGAATACGCTCTCTGGCCTCTTGTAACAACCTGAGATGCGTCACACTTAGCTTCATGCGATCTATCTCATGATCAGGTTTTTGAAGTAACGTTTGCACTTCTATAAAACAACAAAGGCCAAAAATACAAGAGTCAAGAGCTCATAGCATGTTAAATTGATGCTTTGTTATTTGGGTACCGTTGTTATTTTAGCCAGATACCTTGAGCTCTTTTTTGACGAATTCTGTGAGTAAGCTTCTTCTCAGGCTGTTCTGTCATTGTATCTTTCAAGGCTCTCTTACGACCGCGTGACGATACTTCACTTTTATTTTTCTGCTGGTTCGGCTGTGATTTTTCCGAAGTGGATTTCATCGAGGTGCGCTTGGAACCCCTCAAAGGTTCTTTATTTGGATCTTTCTTCCTTGACTTTCTTGGTGCCTTCTGCTTTCCTCCAGCAGTGTTCTCGTCGCTACTATCATTATTTTGTTCGGCTGCTGAAGGTTCAACAAAATCTTCATCAAGATGATCGTCAACAATATGCTCAGATAACCCAACCTTCTGAATCTCTGTCCTGCTTCTTAACTTCATTGATAATTCTTGTTTTCCAACATCCAATTTGGATTGTTGTTCAACACCATGATCTGATCGCTCCCCCTCATAGTACTGGCTCTCCCTATCAGTATATTCCTGATCGTCTGAATGTTCTTCAGTAAGACAATGCTGCAAAAATTACCAATGAGACAAGGACTTACCTTTTGAGGTGCTAAGAAAATTCTAATCACAAGTGTAGACTTCAGCAAGGACTTACCTTTTGAGGTGCTTGCTGAGGCAAGGTGTTCAAATTTTCATCAGATCCTATGTCATTATGGTTGGTATCTGTTGCAGCGACCCCCTCATAATCATCTGGTAGAACAAATGTTACTGATTTGCCTTTGCTCTTTTTCTTTCCAAGATCAAGTAGAAATGTAGCAGCAGCTTCAGCTGTACCAGAAATATGTTTGCTCATTATGAGTAAATAAGCAGGAAAGCTAGACGAAGCAATATAAAGTGATAAGTGCAGCCAACAACTCATGACATACTGTATGGTCAGAATGAGCGTTATGCCAGATGTGCATGGAAAAGAAGTTCCACAAGTAAATCAAACACGCACCTGAGGGTTCTCCAAAGATCGGTTGAGTATCATCAGTATGAGGATTTATCAGCCCATCTTGAGAGTCTATATCAACACTAGCATTGATATCCTAAAAGCAATCAAAAGCAGAGCATCAGCATATCATATTTGTGAACTTAGTTAAATTTCTAACAGATTTCAACCCTGACCTTTAGATTAGCTGCTGCATAATCATCACTAGTCCCAACAGCCTTGGATGAAGCCCTGCCAGGTTTTCTTTGTGATTTAGGGCATAACTTTGCAGCCGTTTCCTCTGGACCAGGCTCTTCAAGGATGCGGTTGCGGTTAACAAAATTGTCAACTGTACCATCATCAGTTCCCAAGGGTGGCTGAGAATCTGAGGTCTGTACATGTTCTTCATGTTGAGCTTGTACCTGCTCATCGTTGCATCCTCTGACATCATCGTTACCATCCTCTTTATTTTGTGAGACCACGTCTACAGTTGAAGCTGCCTTCTTTTGGCCAGTCTTTCGGGACTTGGATGCTGCCTTGCTGAGTTTCACCTTAATTTTTAGCTTGGACTTTGCAGCGTTTTCCTCTTCAGAATGTGTGTCAAATAGTTCCCCAAAGTCAGCTAAATCATCAACTGTCTTGCTAATTGGATGGGTGGATGATGCTTGGGTATCTGAAACAACCAAGCTTTCTTGGAGCGTAGCTACTTCAGATGGATCATCATGAGGATCGTCATTTTGTGAAACCCTATCTACAGAAGAAACTGCCAGCACATCATCAGAAGGTGTGTAAATAGTGCCCCCACAAACTTCCGCACCACCAATCGTTTCACTACCATGAACGGCCGAAGATGCTATTTCTTGATTCGTAGCAAGTCCTTGAGACAAATTATCTTGACTTAAAGCTAGAGCCTTCTCATCACTTGTTTCCACTGTACGATTGGGTACAACAGATCTTGATGGCACAGATTTCTTCCGAAGCTTGCCCCGCAGCTTATTAGGATGAAACTTTGCAGCAGCTTCCGCTTCTGCAGGGGCATCAGTGATGTCGCCAAAGTTAGCCTCATCATCAATCATGTCCAAACCCCCTTTGTGGCCTCCAGGAAGTTGTTTCGACCTGCCAAAGTCACTTTAGGAAATATTGCAGGTTCAGACAGCAGCAGCAGCAAGCGAAGCATGTTATATAAGAAAGAAATGGACAATATATTATCTCACATAGAGATAACAAAATAAAAGGAAACGGAAATCCTTGTTGGCACTATTTTTCTAAGGCCCCATAACATCTTATAGGCCCATCTTGCCGTGCAAAAGAAACTTATGGTGACCAACCATATTTTCCAGGTTCTAACTGGCATCACCAACACAACTGCATTCAATTGTTGCAAGATTAAATGATCATACAAATTTAGCAAATGGCACCAGAAAAGGCAGTACCGCGTCAACCAAACGAGGAGCTAACACAAGCGCATAGGACACGAGGTATGGACATTAGCTACCAAACGAACAGTTAAAATTAAATCTGACTATTTGATTTAGTTCACAAGAAAGCATCAGGCATGCATCAACGACCGAATTTCTAAGACGTTTCAACAATTGTATATATACGGTTCATCAACAAGAAATAGACAACACGCCAAACATTCTGTGCAGAACAACAGAAATCAAATAGTGACGTGGAGCATTAAATCTTTACCTGGTGACGCCACGAAGGTGCTTCCCCGGTGACGGCGAGGATGAACCTTTTGGCCCCTCCTTGAAGAGGCCGAGGTTGCCTGCGGCGCGGTTGAGAGGAGGGGGGCAGCGGCGGAGAAGCACGGACTGGGTAGGGCGGCGGTGTCGGGGGACGCACGGAATCCGTAGTCGGTGGCCGCAGGGAGGCGGCGAGGTGGGGAGGCGCCCGCGGGGGAGAGAAGGGCACGGAGAGGCCGGCGGCGGCAGGGGAGCCGAGGGCGGAGAGGCGGCGCGGCGGTTGCCTTCCCCCCAGTTCGCACGCCCTCGCCGCCTACGGAGACAGGAGTCCAGACCCCTGACGAGGCCTTCAGCAGGGGCGAATCCTAACGCGCGGAATAGTCGCCCCCTCTGTGGGCCGAATCCTAACTAGGCCATCTCTTGATTTTGTTAGGGCCCTTTACTTCCGGCCCTTTTGCATTCAGTTCGCGCAGGCCATTTCGTGGTATTTTTTGCCTATCATAATCTACCTGTGGGTCGCAGGTTTTGGTATTTCCCTTTCTACGTGTCCCCCATAGGCCATAGTTGATCCTGCTGTTTTTACATGGATTTTTTTCACCTATATATGCTTGCTTTCTAGGGCATAGTGATGTCGTAGCTGTTTTCGTTATGCTAGATCTGTCGATTCCAGACTACTGCCAATATCTCACTTTTTTTACCTATGCTTGTCTGTGCAGGTTTCGATTGAGTAGGGGAGGAGCGTTATTCAACATTTTAGTTTCTTTTCAGGGGTGTAGGCAAACCGGTTGCTAACTCTCTCCTCTTTCCATCATCGTTTTTTTCCTTCTGATTTACTACCATCTGATTTCATGTACGAAGAAAGATGAAGATAAAAATGTTTGAGAATTTGAAAAGGTGTTCATGAATTTGAAAAATATCCATATCTTTTAAATGTATATGAATTGAAATTATGCTTATGAACTTGAATAATTCTAGTGAATTCAGAAACTGTTCGTGTATTTGCAAAATTATCTGTGAATTCAAAAATATGTTTGCCATGTTTAAAAATGTTCCTAAATTTCAAAGGATTTACGAGTCTATAAAATGTTCGTGAATTATAAAAAAACCTTGAATTTAAAAAACTTGATAAATGAGTGCTAAAATGAAAATGTTCATAAATTAAAAAAGATTTTCTGGTATTAAGATTTGTGAATTCAAAAAATGTTGATGAACTCAAAAACTGTTCGTGAATTAAAAAATGTCTGCAAAATTGAAAAAATGTTTGTGAATACAAAATTGTTCATGAAATTGAAAAAATGATCGCCCAACTTGAAAATGCTCCTGAATCTGAAAATTATTCGTGATTCAAAAAAGTAATTGTGGGTTTGAAAAAATGGTCATGAATTTAAAAAAGTTCATAAATTCAAAAAAATACTCAAATTTGAATATTATTGAATTTGATTTTTAACAAATTCAAACATGTTCGCGAGTTCAAAAATTGTTTATTAATGTCCGTTTGGTAATCCGTGTTGGAAATGCCCTTAATGCATACAGAATAAAGGAAGTGAGACAGTAACTGAAGTGCGCATCTTGGATTTCTGAGTATTCATGATAATCTTTGAACCTGGATGTTTCTTTATCAGCTAGCATCTCTGACGGACTAGGAGCACACTCTCCAACTTAAGAAACATAACTGGAAAAGAAACACTCTCGGGCTACAAAAATATAACTGGAAAAGAAACTCCGTCAGAGATGGCATAAACGTGATATAATTCACATCCACCAAGAAGCTATAGAAATAAAATCACTATTTCTATAGCTTCTTTTCAGTTTCTACTATATAATTCACATCCATCAAGAAGCTATAGAAATAAAATCACTACATCAGATCATGGCATAAACGTGGCTGCAATTTTTTTTTTACATAAACGTGGCTACAACAGTTAGTACTACTACTATTACAATTTTGTTAGCTGATGAAAAGAGAATCCGCAGCGCTACAGTACATAGTCTTAGATGTTGACGAAGGGAGCGCCGGTAATGAACTCGGTGGCGGCGAGCGCGACGAGGCCGAGCATAGCGAAGCGGCCGTTCCAGAGCTCTGCGTCGGCGCTCCAGATTCCGCTCGACTTGCTCTCGACAGTCTGGCCCTGCAGTAGCGGCACCAACGATGCCGCGGAGAACACCCCCGCGGTCACCAGGAACCAGCCCAGCCCGGCGCCGCTGCCGGCCTGGTCGAGGAGCCCGCCGCCGCGTGCCGCCTCGACGGAGAGCGCCGCCACGAAGCCCACCATGGCCAGCCGGCCATTGATGCGCTCCGGCGCCGGGCCGCTGAAGGCGAGCGCGTCCCAGACC